AATGAAAACGTCAGCTCTACTTATCTGCTTGTGTGAAAATTCTTCTACCAGCCCTTCATCGCCTTAAACGTAATTGGGTAAATACATCTCATACTACTGATTTACTGGTAGTCTCGAAATAATACTTAAATGTGAAAAATAAAATTAAATAAAACGAAATTGAATGAAAACGTCAGCTCTACTCATCTGTTTGTGTGAAAATTCTTCTACCAGCCCTTCATCGCCTTAAACGAAATTTGGTGAATACATCTCATACTACTGATTGACTGGTAGTCTTGAAACTCTACTCAAATACGAAAAGTATTTCCCTCGCCGTACAAAGCCTTTTCGAGGTAAGGACACAACTTCTTAGTCGATTAAAGGGTTGCCACGGTGCCAGCTCACTTGTCTGATCAACTGTCAACTGTCAAGTCACGAGGACGCTATTCTCTTTAATCTCCTCTTCTTCCACAGCCGTGAATTCAACCTGCCTAAGAGTGACTTTTGTTTTGTTTTTCCCTCTTTTTCAGGCACTTCGCGCCGGACAGATGACATCAGCTACACACTGGATCATCATGGACATGGTGAGTTGACCTGAGTGTTCACCACTTTGTTTACAGCAATTAAAGCGAACTGTTAAAAAGAGAAGGAGAATTGGTTTCAGACTTTCGAAACGCGTTTTTATGATCTAAGATATGCTGTCATAATAAATGGTAGCCGAGAAAGTGACGGCCTCATGAATAGTTTTTAACTGCATAATTCAACGACTCAAATGCCCTCGTCAAGCAAAGTCATTCCTCTTGTGATCATAGAATGCCTAATTAGTTAATTATTTGTTTGGGGCATGTCAGCTTCTGATTGGCTTGTGCCTCAAGGCTTGGCCTGACATGATAGGTCAGTATGACTGATCCAATGGGAGGCCAGCTTGTGGATATCGAGATTCTGATTGGTTCTCAGTTGTACAGCACGAGTCAAGACATGAGATGCCCTAAAATAGTTTATTTTGCGTATTGTGCAGGTGCTGGGAGGCCACTCTGTTGTTAAGTAACTAGACGAAGAAAGAGGTTTCTGTTGTCTTGCTTTTTAATCATAGTCACTTCTCTGTCCTTTTAGCTCACTCTTTCTCTCTCGAATTGAAACCGAAAACCAAAAAAAATGCTCAGCAACAAAACCAGACGAGTGTCCGACCTTGTGCAATCTGAGTGATGGTTATAACATGCAGGCAGAAAGGAGAAGATAAGGGTCATAAAACCTTGATTGCCAAAAAGAGATGTTCCTTTTTGCTGTCCTAATTACTTTGAGCCATCACTTCTAGCTTCGTGCATTGGTGGACACATACAGACACATACGCATACAGAGACAGACACGCTCACAGACATCGAAGTTGACATATGACTTTAACTAACCAAATCATTTAATACCTGACCAAAAAGACAAGATGTAGAGTAGATATACCACTTTTTAGGGATTTGCCGGTGAGATTTCTTGACTCGTTAGCTTCAATTTTGTTTAGAAGATGTTACCTCGTTCTGATGATGTCCGTCACCTTTTCACCGGAACCGAAGGAGATTGCCTCGGAAACAGCGTCAGCATGACTGTTCCAGTAGAGCCAATCGACAGTTAGTCAAGAGGAATCGGCCGTCGTCTTCTGGTGGAAGCGACCTTCGAATCTCTTCACCGAAAACACTTTCACTCGAAAGGGAAGTAACTAATCGGTAGAGTGGAGAGTTGAGTCACAATGCTGAATAAAATGTTTTCGTCTGAGGACTAAGTACGACAGTGACAGGAGAAGTAAATAAGTTCAAATATCAAGCAATAGAAACCTTGTTTTTGCAACATGGTCATGTTGGTAGGAAGACTTATTGTCATATAGCTCAAGGGAGCAGACCACACTATGTCTGAATGAGCACGGAAAAATTGAAATAGTCAAGAAATGATAGGATGCTACCGGAAACGCGAATAACCCAGGGCAGGATTGGAGATACCACAATTGTCTGGCACACATTCGGTCAAAGGATCGGCTTCACGTGTCTCTTTGACGAGTTGCTGTATGGTGCTTAGGATAGCGATACCCACAGACGATGCCGGCGAAACGTTTGGGAATGTACCACGTCGACGGTTCAACTTTGGAAATGATTATGCAGACAAAAGACCACGGACCAGGTGCATTCCAATGAGTCTTCCTACCAATATGACCATGTTGCGAAAACAAGGTCAAAAAACGTCTATACAACGAAAGGAGACTGCGACCACACAAAAGGCCACACCATCTTAGTCTTCATACCTTTGTTAGAG